ATTTTATGTAATTGCATTATACAGTGGATTATTATTTTTTAGAAGAAGAAGAAAATATCATTTCTATAGCGCCTCTCAAGATAAAAATCACGAGGCGCTGCACAAAAACAAAAACAAAAAATATAAAAATTGTAAAAATATAAAAAAGCATTTTGAAAATGTTTAAAAATATATTTAAAATGAGCAAGAATAAGCAATTGCGATTTAAAAGAAAAAATGTTAAGAAAGAGAGAGAGTGAACAGGAAAGAGGGAAAAAAAGTGGATCCTGAGGAAGGTGGAATAGGTGGGGAGAGCAGAATAAAGAGAAGGTGGTGAAGAAGGTCATACAAAAGCCAGCTTGAACAAGTGAGTCTTCAGCTGCTTTTTAAAGGAGACCACTGAGTCCACTGATCTCAGGCTCAGGGGGAGAGAGTTCCAGAGTCTGGGGGCCACAGCAGCAAATGATCTGTCACCTTTGACCTTTAGCCTGGTGCGCTGCACAACCAGTAGGCTTTGATCACTGGACCTCAGGGACCTGCTGGGGGTGTAGGGACTAAGAAGATCACCAATGTAAGATGGTGCTTGTCCATGTAAGGCCCTATAGACCAGAACCAGGATCTTGAAATGAACCCTGAAGTTGACTGGCAGCCAGTGAAGCTGGAGGAGAAGCGGGGTGATGTGGGTGTGTTTGGAGGACTTGGTCAGAAGCCGAGCACAGACATTCTGAACCACCTGTAGACGGTTCAGGGAGGTTCTGCTCAGACACGTGAAAAGAGAGTTACAGTAGTCTAAGCGTGAGGAGATGAAGGTGTGGATAACAGTCTCAAGTTCAGAGCGAGACAGAATGGGACTCAGCTTAGCAATGTTCCTGAGATGGAAGAAGGAAGAGCGAACAAGACAACTGACATGAGAATCCAGGGTGAGAGCTGGGTCAAAGGTCACGCCAAGATTCCTGACAGAAGGTTTGGTGTGGGAAGCAAGCTGACCAAGAGAGTCTCTGACTTTGGGAACCAGCTTGTCTGGGGCACAGATGAGGATCTCAGTCTTATCTTCATTCAGCTGAAGAAAGCTCCCACCATCCAGGTTTTGATAGAGTCTAAGCAGGTGTGTAACAGCTGCAGCTTAGACATCTCATGGGGCTTAAAGGAGATGTACAGTTGGATTTCATCTGCATAAAGATGGTAGGAGATTCCTTTGAAGGAGCTCAGGATGTGCTGAAGAGGAAGCAGAAAGAGGAGGAAGAGTAGAGGCCCCAGCACAGAACCTTGTGGGACACCATGGGTAAGAGAGGTGGTGGAGGACCTAAACTTGGAGACGGCCACAGAAAAGGAGCTTTTTAAGTTGCTGTGATAGATCTGCAGATCTGACTATAATCAAATGTTGTTGTTGTTGTATTGAATTCGACATCCTACGGCACACTATAATGTCACTTTGTTAAAACTTGAAAGTTGTTTCCAATGTTGTTCCATTTAATATTGCGGTGTTGTTCCCTGTAGAAGTTTTACCTTGTTAAGGCTTATCATTAATAAAGTTGTTGGTGCAGCACCCTTTTTTTTTGCATTGACACTTTATGTAAGCTTTGGTGTAAAAGTTTTCTATTGTAGGTCAAGGATCTTGAATGTTATAAATGGTAACATGTGAGCAAGTGTAAAACGGTTCTCGAGTTGTCACCTGTACTGTAGTTAAGTTTTGGACCTTTTGCTGAAGACCTCTGAAGTTCCAAACACCTAATTACAATGTATAGATGACAACTCAGGAATTTTTCTAGACTTGTTTTGATGATACCTAAACATTTAGCATATAGATGAAACTATTCATTAAATCATAATTAATCAAATTAATTAGGTCAAAAACACAATTTAAATTGTGCCATTAAATTAAAATTAATATTATCAATTGAACCTAAAGCAATACAGTTAATAAAATGAACAAAGTGTTTAAATTCGAATTAATGGTGTTAAATAGTGACAATGAAAGGAAAGCTGTTGCTTTTATATAACAATTTCACTTCTGGTATACATCACCATTGAAATTGCAGACAACAACCGTATTGATTTATGTTTAATTGACTAAGTTTTGTGGAAGAGATTGCCTTAACTTTGTCAATTAAATCCAACATTTTATTTCTTAGAGTGATCAAGACTGGATTACTGTAATTCATTACTCTCAGGAAGTCCACAGAATGAAGTTAAAAGTCTTCTGGTTGTCCAAAATGCTGCAGCTAGAGATCTGATGAGAATTAAAAAGAGAAATCATATCTCTCCTGTCTTAGCTTCCCTACATTGGCTACCTGTTAAATTCAGAATAGATTTTAAGATCCTCCTTCTCACATATAAAGCTCTTAATAATCAAGCTCCATCATACATCAGTGATCTGATTGTTCCATACGTTCCTAACCGAGCACTTCGCTCTCAGACTGCAGGTCTACTGTTGGTTCCCAGAATGTCTAAAATTAGGATGGGAGGCAGATATTTTAGTTATCAGGCTTCTCTCCTGTGGAACCAGCTCCCAGCCTTAGTCTGTGAGGCAGACACTTTGTCTACTTTTAAGACTAGGCTTAAAACATTTTTATTTGATAGGGCCTATGGTTAAAATCTGACGTTAGCCTAAATCTGGACAAGTGGGGGAGTAGAGGGAGGTGGAGTGTACAGTCGGTAAAGACGGCTCTCCCTTGCCCTGCCTCCAACATGCCTACATCTAAATAGGATAGATTATCCAGAGTTATCTCTGTAGTTATGCTGCTATAGGCTTAGACTGCTGGAGGATACACTGACCACTTTTCACACTCTACTACTTTCTTCTACAATCTGCTCTTTAACTGTACTATTTTCTGCAATTTCAGCTGTTAACTTTATTTTTTCTCTAAGTGTTTTTCTCCCCAGAAGAAGCTACGATGATGTTCTGCTGAGCTGTGGTGGCCTCATGGAGGGGGCCATCGTCTAGCACACTGCTGCTAACCACTAAAACATTCTCCCTCTCCTGATATTAACTTTTTGCTTTCCTTGACGTTGGATGTGCTACTACTAGTTTATCCGTTTAATTAGAGATCCACTAGGATAAATACAATAAAGTTTGTATCTCACCTAATAGAATATTTACTAAGACATTACAATATAACTATAGACACAGTACTTGTCTTTGTGTGTGTGTGTGTGTGTGTGTGTGTGTGTGTGTGTGTGTGTGTGTGTGTGTGTGTGTGTGTGTGTGTGTGTGTGTGTGTGTGTGTGTGTGTGTGTGTGTGTGTGTGTGCGTGTGTGTGTGCTCTGTCTTCTCAATCCCCAGTGAGTCGTGGAGGATGGCTGCTTATACTGAGCCAGGATTCTCTGGAGGTTTCTTCCTGTTAAAAGGGAGTTTTCCTCTCCACTGTCGCTTTATGCTTGCTTAGTATGAGGATTGCTGTAAAGTCACTGACACTAGTCAGTGACTTGATGCAATTTGCTGGGTTCTTTATATAGGAAACATTATTTCTGATTGGCTTAATGAACTGACCTGGATTGGAATGTTTATTATGTGAAGTGCCTTGAAACGACTCTTGTCGTGATTTGGCGCTATATAAATAAACTTGAATTGAACTGAACTTTTGTGACACGCTTTACGGCAACCCAGAAGTTGTGGGACTGAAGTAGCTGTGCGTGTTGGAGCTGTTATTAAGAGTGAACCAAACAATACAGCAAGTCTCTTCGTTCACTTCACATCTGCTACTTGTTCAGGAAGTCACACACACACACACACACACACACACACACACACACACACACACACACACACACACACACACACACACACACACACACACACACACACACACACACACACACACACACACACTGGTTTGTGTGGGATAGCTGGCCTTTTTTTCAAACAGGCCCAGATATGGTTTACATGGACAGCCTATTCCTAAGGTTCTATCTAGACCAGTGGGGGGTGGTTACAACCCCAGCAACCCGACCGTGGACAAATGGCTGAAAATGGATGGATTGATAAACAGACACTAGGGGGTGCTAAAAGTAATCCAAATTGTCCAGCATTCCTTTAAAAGATTATCTCACTTTAGGTCTCAGATATAAAGCATACAGCACATTTTTACAGTGTTGTAGTAAGTGTGAATATACATATATATATATATATATATATATATATATATATATATATATATATATATATATATATATATATATATATATATATATATATATGGAGTTAGAAGGATAGATATTCCTGTTGGAAGTAAGCTAGATTTGGGACAAATTGTTTTGTACTTGTAGACTTGAGTTTTGTAAGTTGTGATTTGAACTTGTACATTGATTTTTTCCGCAATTTACTAAATAAAATGTTCATGTTACGTACCAAAGTTACATGCTACAAAATTACATGCTACAAAACTAATTCTCTTGTTACAAAATGAAAGTTACATGTTACAAAACATGAGTTACGTGCTGCAAAACAAAAGCCACCGTTACAAAACTTTACATGTTAACTGTAATATTGTCCCAGTCTTAGTGCATAAATGTGCTTTTGCCCATGCTGCCTCCACGCTCTGGAACTCACTGCTCATTATAGTTAGGAGGCATCCTTTTTGCCTCTTTTTGAGTCTAAACCCACTTTTATGACTTGGCTTTCAGACAGTGACTCATTTCATGGTTTTATTGTTTTTATTGTTTTTACTGTTGTGTTTTATCTACTGTTCTTATTGCCTTTATCTGCTATCGATGCCTTTTATTTAAGGTTAGATCCTTAATGCTTTTGTCTTTTTCTGTTTTATTTTGATCCTGCCTGTTCAGCACTTTGGTCAGCTCTCACGCTGCATTTTATATTGTGCTGTAGAAATATGATATGGTATTTGTTTTTCTGATCACTATCAAACATCCGTGAATTGTTTCTGCTCTCATTTGCATGAATACAAATATTCCCTGTTCAGGAAATTTTCCTATCCAACAGACCTAGAAGGAATAGATAAGAGGCTGTCTCTAAAACCATCATGACTTGTATAATAAGTCTAAACCTTCATGTAGATGTTGACTCATTCACCATGTTGCTCCTTCAGTGGCTGTTGCTGTTTCTGGACTGCGGGACTCAAGCTTCTCATTTTAGTGGCACCACGATGACCTACTACCCAAAGGAAACTCAGGCAAATGGATCTGTCTCAGTAACTGAAGCTTTTTTTAATGAAATCTTTCATTTTATTTCAATAATTCTATTACATTTATCCTTGTTTTGTAATGAATTTACAGGTGATCCTTCGCTACAAGTCGAACTATGTCTTCTACCTAGTGGCTGGTCCATGGACTTGCACTGGAAACTGTGGAACAGAGACTCAGATTACTTCATCAGCCAAAGTTGATGAAAGCAGCGGTGAATGGTGTCAAAGTGAAAGCATCACAACTCGGCAGCTTCTCAACAACTTCACTTTTCAACTTGTGTGAGTCCAACTAATGAAATTTTGTAGAGTCATGACTCGTGACCAAAACTGCAGATTTCACAAGTTTAACTAAACTTACTGATTGTTAACAAGGAACATGGCAGTAACTATTTACTGCCGAGTGGTGAGATGAAAGGAGGATTCCCTTCCTATTCCTTCCCTACCTTACTGGGAGACTTTTCAGTGGCCTAGTGGTGGTGTGCACACCAGGCATATCCATGGTCCTCCCTCTTATTTGCACTGTATTTAGAACCATTAGCTGAACTGGTGAGATAGGAGCCACATGTTAAGGGAATAACTCTGGGAAAAATGGAGCATAAATTAGCCTGTTATGCAGATGATACTTTACTTTATTTAGGACACTCTACAGACTTGCTGCCTAATCTTATACACTTATTGGAGCAATACGGTCACTTTCTGGATATTAGAGAAAAACATGCACAAAACACAGACACTCCTGTTCAATTATAACCCACCAGCGCTGATAATGGAAAAGTATCTAATTAAGTGGCAGGCTAAACTTTATTATTATACCAGTTATTCCTACTCAATTTAATGCATGCGATAAAATGATGTCAGTCAGTTTTAAGCTAATGCAATAGGCTTAAAAAAGAGAATTGAGCTGCACAAATAAAGACCTTGATGAGCTGGTGCAACATTTCACTTAACCCCCAATGGAAAAATGCTTCATTTTCCTATACAAGCAATCCTGGCTGGTGGAATTTATGCATAGATTGATGTTTTTCTGATGGGTAATGCCTGATTTATACTTTTCCATTTTCATCTGGAAGGAGACACGCAACCCCATTATGCGTCGGTGCAAGGGCTCTCCGATAGGCTCACCCAAATTTTTATATAATTGTCGAAAGTGACAGATATTACATGCTTGTGATTAGTCGGGATGCCGCTTCCTTTAAATTCATCAACAGAGCCGCCATTGCCCCAGTAAAAAGTAAAAAAGTTAATTGTGGTGACACAAATCAGATTGAAGAACGCCACATGGAAAATGTCCAATAGTATGAAAGTTTATTCACTGGAGTAGAAATATACCAGTAGGGGTTTTTATTTGTGGACAGAGATGATGGTGGAGGAAAATAGACAAGTCGCCCGAGTTATAAATTCTATAAAAACACTTTAGTGCATACATTATCAGGGACTGGATACATGAGTGTTATGGTGACACAATA